CAGCACCAGCTGCTCTGGATCCCCCTGCCGAAGCACCAGCACCGTGGATACAGCCTCCTTCTCAGGTTTGGATGGGGGGGCAGTAGTGATCTGGCAACTTATGGCTCATGTGCCAGCAGAAAGGGCTCCGCATGCCAGCTGTGGCACGTGTGCCATAGGTTTGCCATCACTGATCTAGTCCACCATCTAGTTCAGTGGTTCCCAACCTTGAGTCCCCAGGTGTACTCGGACTATAACTCCCAGAAATCCTGGCCAGCACAGCTGGGGGTCTGGGAGTTTTAGTCCAAGAATATCTGGGAATGCAATTTGGAAACTACTGATCTAGTTCATCATCCTGCTGATCCAGGAAATCTGTAGCTAAAGCCTCACAGACAGATGGCCATCCAGACCAGGAGCTGGGAAAGGCACACTTTTGGACTATAATTCTCAGAACCACTGAGTCAGCAAAGCCACTGGTTTTTGGCAGTTGAAGTCCAGAAAAATTATATTTTTTATCTCTGATCCAGCCTTTGATCAGATTTTTTTAAAAAAATCTAATAAAATGGAGTCCACAACCTTACGAGGCACTCTGTTTCATTAGATAAAACTGCCACCATATGCAAAATTAATTATTTTTGCATATTTCTGCAAAGAGTCTTCAGAAGCATGCAACGGAATTGAGATTTTAAAATGATTTTAAAAACAATATTTAAAAATGGGTTTTGAGGGTACATTGAGAGCAAGATCACACAATGTTGCACAGACAACAGGCTTCTAAATCTCAAATCAGCTGAATGCCAAAATAAAACCAAAAACAAACCAAGAAATCAAAAAGAAAAACAAAGAGCCACAAAGCCAAAACTGAGGATGAGATGGTTAAGAAATATCATACAATATCGCTTGAAAAAAAACAAGCTAAATATTCAGCAATGGGTCACTAAGATCCTAATCCCAGTCTGATACATTGGTAAATCACAACCAGAGTAGGCCCATTAAATCAGTGGAATTTAAATAAGTGTTGACTCACCAAGTCTCCACTGATTCAATGAGCCTAGTCTAGTTGTGACATGTTACTGGATTTCAGCCACTTTTGGACCAGCTGAAAGATTACAAACGACAAACTACATCCCAAGAATTTATCACCAATACTTGTGTACTGCAACTCCAAAATATGTCAACATTATGCTTGTATGTACTACAGTACAATACTGGTATAGATTTGCCTGAACGGGCAGTATCACAGTGTGGAACACGTAGTCAAGAATGCACACTTGAATGCACCAGTAAGCCCTTCTGCTCCTGTTCAGGTGTGCCGCATAGCCTTGCTGCCTCTTAAGGCATCCATGTTGCAGGCTGCCCAGTCATTATTGTTCAAAATAAAACAGATGAAATATACAGTAAGATTCCCTGAGCATGTTTAAAATCCTCGAACTTACTGAGTTTCACAAGAATGACCAACAGAAATCCCATGTTTATATGTTTTGTTGATGTGATCACATCTGTCCGAGCTTCAGAAGTACTGTACTGGCAAGTGAGGAAAAAAAAGACCAATTTTATTAATTTTTGACTCTCCCTGACATCAGAATGGTTCTTAAATATACACAGTATTCAAATAAGAAGGAAAAGGGGAAAGAAACACTGATACTTTGATTTTATGCCATTTCTGAAATTATTATCCCAAAAATGCACAACACAGCTGTGGCTAAATGTTCAAGGTATGGCTATGCTTTGTCATATGGCAATTTAGTCACATTTTATAATGATGTTTGTATATCAAAATAAATCCAAATAAATTCACCTAAGGTGTTAGTCCTCTTGGGTGCCACTTCTTGGCCAAAAAGTAGAACATAAACTTATCAAAGAGATAAAATTACTTTTGACATAATTTATGGTTTTGTATCAGAGGAATCATTTTTAAACATTTTAGTAGGCAAGTTCATACAGCACTGTTTCTGCAGAAAGCCAACGACAGAGCTTGTGCCTCTAGCTCTAAATGGCAGCAAATAAACACACATTTGACTGGTATTCCTGATAGAGAGGTTACTGCAAAAGTACTGCAGAGATCTAAATGGCAGGACACTGTGTAAAGGACCACTGTTGAATAAGGTGGCACTATTAGAGAATCTGTCTATTAGCTGTAACCATAGTTTAGTGTTATCTCAAAGGATGTGATGCCTGTTACGTCTGACAGTTCACAGAACATAACAGAAGGTAACAATCATTAAAACCATCTCTAGTCATATATTACCATCATGCAAACATCAGAAGATATTTTTCATGTCCCCATTATATAGGAAGATTGTTGCCACTTATAAAGTGTCTTACCTGGCCTTTGAATTATATATGATTGTAGAAACAGAGGCAGCAAAGTGAAGGCAGTGGAGCAAAGACGTATCTCTGAGCTGGAGCTATGAAAAAGTGCACTTCCCCTCAGGCACCTGGGTGTAGATGAGAAGGAGGACTAAAAACCTGCCAAAGAGGTGATTTGTTAAACCATTCTGCCTGGGTTTTTTCCCCCTTTTGGCAAAAGCAAACACATTAATGAGAGACAATGTTAGGTTCATTTCCAGTTATAGTCAACTGCAGTATTCCCTTTACTTAGATTAAAAAAAACTACTATAGAAAGAAGCCCATTTGTGAATGGGCTTATATCTGGATCAAGATTTTTCAGAAGAGCACAAATCACATTGTAAGCATTTTAGAATGCAAATACATATTATAATAAAAAGTGGGAGGCAGCCCAGTCTCAAATCCTCCACTAAACATAATTTCCTGGTTCAGATGAAATCAGACTCGAATTCAGTGAACACTACCTGCCTTTTCTGTTTCTGTGCTCAAGTCAAAGGGGGAACAAAGGGTGGATGGTTGCCTGATCCAGCTGAGGTATAGTAAGTTATCCAAACAGAACCAATGCCAACATGTTGAATCATTGAGTTCTCAGGTGTCATCTAACAGAGTACAGTGGGGTCTTGACTTGAGAACATAATCCGTATTGGAAGGCGGTTCTCAAGTCAAAAAGTCTGTAAGTCAAGTCTCCATTGACCTACAGTGCATTGAAAACCGATTAATCCCGTAACAGGCTGTTTTTGTTCCATTTTGGTTTTTTACTGGTCTGTAAGTCAAATCTCAGTCTGCAAGTCAAACCTAAATTTTGCGGCCAGAGAAGTCTGTAAGTCAAGCCGTCTGTAAGTCAAGGGTCCACTGTAATAAAACATAGTTTCAGCTCGAACTGAATTGTGTCAGACCACGATGGTGATGAAAACAATTATTACATGTGCAGCCTTTCACTTTCCATTCATTGGCAGTATAACAACAACAACACGCCATCAAGTTCCTCCTGACTTTCCAGAGTTTTCTAGGTAAAGGTTACTTGGAAGTGGTTCCCGACTACCTTTTTGTGGGGATGCCCTGGGATTGTGCAGCACAGATCTCTCCTGTGAGGAACAATGGGGAATTGAATTCCCAACCTCTGCCTATAGTAAAATTAAGTTAGTACATTATCAAAAAGGCATTCACATAATATCTGCAGAGTGGTGATATTTAAAAGAGACTATTTAATGCAAATGGGGGGGGCATATGCCCCTCCAGACAGATGTTGCTGAAATGGAACTCTTATCAGTTCCAGTCCACATGGCCAGTGGTGAGGCTGATGGTGGAGGCTGAAGTCCAGCAACATCTGAAGAGCTACACCAAAGGCTGATCCTCTTTTTGTGAAATGAAGACTGAGGATGTTCCTACAAATAGCCAAGTTGGCAAGTGCAGAAATTCCCAAAGTGCAAGTTATCACCATTTTAGCCCTTAAGAGGCATATGAGATGCATCTTACAGCATTGATCCAGCACCCCTCCATTGACCAAGGTTGGGGACCACTGAAATACACCACACTGGGTACCCAACAGCTGCTTATGAGGTGGAGTTAAATGGGTCCAAATTAATGTGGTAGTACTGTAAAGTGATAGTGTTGTAGCACATTATCCCTGCATCTTGATGCATGCTAGCCTAAATGTCACTTTAGTCTTGGTTTGATACATAGACCAATTGATCCTCATCTTCCTCATGATTGTACCAGGTTACAGTTCAAATGAATGCTCTTTTAAAACTGTGCCATGTTAGGTTTTGCACTTCCTCTCACCACATTGCAGAAAGACAATTTCTCACAGGACCAGGGTGATTTTAACCATGCATAGCATTCGAAGTTGTACAGGAAGAAGTGAGAAGTCTCCTAATTGTACATATACAGACCCTTAGAATGATATCATAGGCAAGTTCCTTAATATATCATAATCAGGTGAACGCAATAGAAATTGCTCGTAAGGAATACTACTGTGTTTCCCCAAAAATAAGACAGGGTCTTATATTAATTTTTGCTCAAAAAAAAAAACCTCATTAGGGCTTATTTTCAGGGGATGTTTATTTTACAGTCATGTCATCTTCTTCTGGTTGCTGCACAATGCTGCACAATGGTGGAGAGGGGTTTAACTTAACTGGGGCTTATTTTTGGGGTAGGGCTTATATTACGAGCATCCTGAGAAATCATGTTATGACTTATTTTCAGGTTAGGTCTTATTTTTGGGGAAACAGGATATGTTATACCTCAGTGTACACAGAATGATAATTTAGCAATTGCTGGACTGACTGCAATTCTACATTTTGTAAAAACGCAGTTTCCTGCTTGTTAATGAAACACAGAAGCATGGAGGAATTCCAACAACCTACAGATAAAATATACCAGTGGTGCATAGTCATCCTGGAAAGGAGCTCTGAAGCTCTCCCTTCTGGTTTTCAATTCTTTGACAGTTCATGGCAGACAAAATTAAATTCTGATGCTGAAAGTAAATGAAAAGTGACATTAAAATTAATTATTTATATTTTCCTTGGGTCTTCTACAGCAAGAGTAATTTCTTTCAAAATATTGACAATTGCTGGGGGTTTAATGCAAAGAGAATCAAGTGCATCTGTGTCTCGTGCTATTAATATATAAATACAGGGGGTAAATCTTCTCTCATGTGGACACATAAATATTGCATGGATTCTGTGCAACACAATTAATTGTTCTTTAAATATTTTTCTTTTCGTTTCAATACCATCCATGCAATGTTTTATTTATAGATTTTTTTTAAAATTTATACAACAGTTTCATTAAGCAGTGCTTTACTCAAACGGCATTGAGTAAAGTCTTTGGATTATTAGATTCTTTCTAACTGAGCAAATGAAATATTTCATGGTGAGAAAGAAAGCCTGAAGTCCCCTTTGAAGTTTTCCAAAATGATTTCGCACCTGCGTTACAGGAGTCAACTTGCTTAGGAAACTTTTTTTACAGCGAAATATCCTCAGCATGATCTGCTGAAACAAGCCCTACTCAACAACTTTGCACAGGTTCTTTCTACTGTTGTAGCTTTAAGGACAACTAGAATCACACACAACAGTTAAAAAAAACAGACATGGATCTAGTTTTCTTCAGATGCTAAATATACTTATAACATTGATTGTTAAGGGGGAGTTATAATCATTGGGTTCAGCACTGAAATACCATTGTAGGTTTCTGGATTTACAATGTTCTAAGAAGGAGCTGGAGATTTGACAAATGTATATTGTACTTACCAAGGAAGAAAACCTAAGAATTATTTAAAGCTTGATGTCAAAGGGTCAGACACACAATAGTGCAACCTAAAATTAACATACTGGTTAAAATTAGCATCACCCTAAACACAGCTGATATTTTCTAATTATAAGACTAAGCATGATCTTGCCCATTTAACACCTGGATGGGAGAACATCAAGGAATAGTAGAGATCTCCAGAAAGTGCTGAAACTATGGACACTGAAGTAGACAATACTGAATGGACTTAGGCTTGTCTGCATGGGCAATCCTGGAGTGGGCCACTGCAGAACCAATAGGGTTGGTTGAGGTCTGGTACAGGTGCAATATGCCATTTGGTGCTCTCCTTGTTTCCAAAGGACATATTGGATCTCAAACTACCCTAGTTGGTCTGGCTGACAGTTTACCATATTGTGAGGTGGCTCAAGAACGGGGCCAATTCAGAATATTGGCAAATTAAATACTTCTTTTGCTTCTCTGCAGATAGGGGTAAAAGAAGTGAAATTTTTGAAAGAACTCTGTTATTCCAGTGCAGATGTACTGTACTACTTAGAAACAACATTTAAAAATTTAAAGCTTCCTCCTGGAAGTGGGAGTAGACAGAAGGGGGTAATGAGGGACTTATCTTACAAGCCGATATGATGGTATCAATCAGGCTTTAGGTCCAAATACTGAAGAAATCTGCTCCTTTTAAGTCTGTTACAGGCGTGATCATCCAGAACCAAGCACAGCAGATGGACCGCTGGGTGAAGCATTACTCTGAGCTATATTCCAGAGAGAATGTAGCAACCGAAGAGGCACTAAATAACATTGAGTGCCTGCCTGTCTTGGAAGAGTTGGATAGCGAACTAACTTCTGGAGAAATAAAAGCGGCCTTGGATTCCCTCGCCTCCGACAAGGCACCTGG